TATTCCAGGGCCATAGTATTGGGAGACTCACCAGATTTCATCTGACCAGTAATTCTGGTCATTATTGAGTTTTTGGGTTTTGTTCCACGTTTTCCCTCCCACTCTATCCAGGATCTCCAGATTTGACCCTTCCCTGAGCTGCTGGCATTGGAAACCAGGCACCATCTAGTTCTTCTGATCTCAGGGGTCATCGTGTCCTAGGGCTGACTGCTTCTAAATGCCCTTTTTTTTCCTTTCTTTTGTGTGTGTGTGTGTGTTTGTGTGCATTCTTCTTCACTTCTGACACTGGGAGACCATTAGCTGCATCCTAGATTTTTTAGACCTAGCTTTTAAGACCACAGATGCTACTCACCACTGTAGGATGTGGAGCAATGCTCTTATATATTTTGTTGTGCCAATTGAGTCTGATGTCCCCCAGTACTATGGTCCTGACGCAGTAGATCTATTGGATCTCTCTCCCACAGTGTCTGGCTGTCTGTGAGAGATTACTCTGTGTCTGTCTTCCATTGTTTCTGTAAGGACTGCAGGTATTTTGTATCTCTGGTGCCTGTGCAAGATTAGCCTCAGCTGAATCTATCCTTGGTCTAGAGTATACTTCTGTTCACTGACCCCGTCTGATCATCTCAGGTGTTTATGTGTTTATCTGTATAGCCTAGTGTTTGGTGTTAATGGCAATACAGTATGGTGGGCACATTGGTTGGTATTAGCATCTGTTGTCTATCCCTTATGTGTATAATCCAGTGTCCTCCCATTTCCTAATGTTATTATCGAGGTCATATATCCTTCCCATATATCCCTCCCCCACCCATGTCAGTGTGTAAGCCCCAACTAGCCTGAAAATAATCCCTCCACTTCCCTCCCATCCCGGTAACCTACTAGGTGAGTTCCCTTTCCTAAGCAAACTCTTCTGTCTTTTTACAGCAATGGGCTCATACAGTATTTGTCCTTTTGCAATTGATTTAGAATGTGGAAATTATTGAAGAATATCACTGATATCACACACAACTAAAATCTTACTGAAGATAATTAAAAAATGGTTGCAGCAGTATATTGACACAGAACTTCCAGAAATGCAAGCTGGATTCAGAAGGGGACATGGAGTGAGGGATATTACAGCTGATGTCAGAGGGATCTTGGCTCAAAGCAAAGAATACCAGAAAGATGTATACCTGTGTTTGATTGACTATGCAAAGGAATTTGATTGTGTGAATCATAACAAATTGTGGACAACTTTGAGAAGAATGGGAATTCCAGAACACTTAATTGTACTCCTGAGAGGAACCTGTACATAGACCAGGAGGCTGTCATTGGAACAAAACAAGGAGACACTGCATGGTTTAAAATCAGGAAGGGAGTGTGGCAGGGTTGTATCCTTCTACCATACTTACTCAGTCTATATGCTGAGCAAATAATCTGAGAGGCTAGACTATATGAAGAAGAACATGGCATCAGGATTGGAGGAAGGTTCATTAACCTGAGACAAGCAGACAACACAATTTTGCTTGCTGAAAGTGAGGGTGATTTGGAGCACTTACTGATGAAGATTAAGACTACAATCTGCCATATGCATTATACCTCAATATAAAGAAAACAGAAATCCTCACAACTGGACCAATAAATATCATGATAAATGGAGAAAAGACTGAAGTTGTTAAAGACTTTATATTACTTGGTTCTACAATCAGCACCAATGGAAACAGCAGTCAAGATATCAAAAGACGTATTGCATTGGGCAAATCTGTTGCAAAAGACCTCTTTCAAGTGCTGAAGAGCAAAGATATCTCCTTGAAAACTAATATGCATCTAACCCAAGCCATGGTATTTTCAATTGCCTCATTAGCATGTGAGAGCTGGACAATGAGTAAGGAAGACCAAAGAAGAGTTGATCCTTTTGAGTTCCGGTGTTGGCGAAGAATACTCAAAGTACAGTGGACTGCTAAAAGGACTAACAAATCTATTCTGGAAGAAGTGTAGCCAGAATGTTCCGTGGAAGCAAGAATGGAGAGACTTCGTCTCACCTGTTTTGGTCATGTTGTCAGAAGGGACCATTCTCTGGAGAAGGAAGTCATGCTTGCTAAAGTGGAGGGTCTCTGAAAGAGGGGAAGGGCCTCAAGAAGATGGATAGACACAGTGGCTGCAGCAATGAACCCAGGTATAGTAGGGATCATGAGGCTGGCATTAGACTGTTGTACATAAGGTCACTGTGAGTTAGAAAGGACTCAACGGCACCTAATAAGAACAACAACAACAACAGGCATTTAATTCCAAATTCCAGCCAACTAGAACTCTAAACTTGCTCTTCTCTTTTGCTTCACTGAAGGACTTCCATCTAATCAGTTATTCAAATCATAGATGTCCTTAGAAAATATCCTTGACATTATTAAAGTTCAGAATAAAGCAAGATGAGCCTTGCCTAGGCAGAAAAATTAAAGGGTATTTGGACTAGATATTGAAGAAATGTTAAGATTTGATCATAAAAAAATGCAACAAAGACGATCTTAGCAGAGAGAGAGCACAAGCTGAAGAATGAAGCAAAAAAAGTACAGGGAATAAGAAGTAGCTTTATTTGGCTACTGCAAGCAAACATAAAATTAACTTTGCTTATTGGCTTACCATAAATAGCATTAAAAAAATTACTTCCTTGCTTTTTCAGACATAAACATAATTATACTTGTTGTTGTTATTGTTATTTGCCGTTGAGTCAGACCCAACTCATAGCGACCCCTCCTTGGGTTTCCGAGGCATTATCACTACGGAAGTAGATTGCCCAACCTTCCTTCCGAGGAGTGGCTGGTGGGTTTGAACCGCCAGCCTTCTGGTGAGCAGTCAAGTGCCTTAGGCACTATGCTACCAGGCTAAAGCACTTGACTGCTAACCAGAAGGCTGGCGGTTCAAACCCACCAGCCACTCCTCGGAAGAAAGGTTGGGCAATCCTAATTCCGTAGTGATACTGCCTCGGAAACCCAAGGAGGGGTCGCTATGAGTCGGGGTCGACTCGACGGCACATAACAACAACAACAATATGATCATTAACATTCTGACAGATACCACAGAAATACAGAAATATAAAGAAACAATAAACTCCTGAAAAAGAGAAATTATGTCTTAATCTACTATGAAAAGCACACATAAAATAGTTAAGCTGATAACACTAGGTAAGCTATGACTTAAACAAACATTGGCATGGGCCCTGAAAAAAATCTAGAACCCTAGCATGAACCTTAAAGAGAAATGGAAATTGGCAAATGACAAGAGAAAAAGGTGTGTTAAGAAGGGAAAACTAGAAAAGAGTATGATCAAATCAGTAGAAATAGTTGAATAGGGAGGGTGAAGGTCTTAAAAATCCACTGCTGTCCAGTTCATTCTAACTCAAAGCAACCTTATAGAACAAAGTAGAACTGCTCCATAGGGTCTCTAAAGCTGTAAATCTTCACAAAAGCAGACTGTCACATCTTTCCCCCAAAAAGCAAATGATAGGCTTGAACTGTCATTCAGTTAGCAGCTGAGTGTTTAACCATTGGGTCATCAGGGCTCCATGAGCTGACAGGGCTGAAGTTTATTCTATAGAGTAGTAGTAGTTCTGTACTCTGGTAAGAACTAATTCTAGGAAATAATAATGTGCAATCATGGCTGAGAATCAATACATGGGACATGGTAGAACCACTGGAGGTTTTTAAGTAGGCAAAAACACGTTAAAATTTGTCCCAGGACTATCCTTTTTTTGGCACCATCAGAAGAAACAGACTCAAAACTTGTAACAGTGAAATAAAGGCACTCTGATGTAATTTTGTCTTTAAATACTACCTTCATTCTTTGATACCATACAGATGAACTCAAAAGTGTTGATGAGCTTAAACTGATAAACTAATTTTCCTTTAATCTAAATTAGATTAATTTAGATAATACTAAATTAGTACCTATTTAAAAAAACAAAAAACAGCTGCTATTAAGTCTATTCTGACTCATGGCAACCCCATATGTGTGCACCATAGGGTTTTCAATGGCTCATTTTTAGATTAACAGGCCTTTCTTCCAAAGTGCCTCTAGGTGAATTCCAACCTCCAGTCTTTCAGTAGCAGCCGAGCATGTTAACTGGCTGCACCACCCAGGGACTCCTAGTACCTGTTAAAGAGTTAACTTTTGAGGTCAGTCACTGATAAGAAACTACATACTTCTTACTAACCAACCAAAATTTCATTACCAACTCAGGTGTCTTATTTGTGGTCCATTGTAAGTTTAATTTCTAAGTTAACAGTAGTATTAATAATTCTTGTTGTTATGTGCCATCGAGTCGGTCCCGACTCACAGCGATCCCTCCTTAGGTTGCCGAGGCAGTATGACTACAGAAGTAGATTGCCCAACCTTCCTTCCGAGGAGTGGCTGGTGGGTTTGAACCGCCAGCCTTCTGGTTAGCAGTCAAGTGCCTTAGGCACTATGCTACCAGAGCTCCTTAATAATTCTTAGATAGTGTTTATAGATTTTGGAAGAAAAAGTTCTCAAAGGACAGTTTCTTAATAACTTACCAAGATTCAGTTTTTCTTTTGACAGTTTCTAAAAACAATGTTGAAAAACTCTTTTTAGCTTGTGGTTGAATTTCATATTTTGAATCTTGTGTTCTTTTCTGAGATGTTCCTGATCGGTTCCCTCCTTGTGGTCTTTCTGATACTTTATCTTCCATTTCTACTTTCTTCAAAATATCTTTATCATTGAAGTTTAACCTATATATTAAAAGGTTCAAAGTAAGTCAAGCTGAATGACTTCACAAAAGTTGCAGAGTTCTGAGTCATCCTTAAATCCTTTATGGTAACAATATAAAGACCACTTACATCATTTACCAATTTGTAAACTCTTACACAAAATATATAAGGTAAAATATGCCAGAAAAAATAGTACACATATGTCAACAGAAAGATATATAACAGAAAAGAACAGTTAAATTATACTCCCAAGGAAATATGCAGCCTTTGAGCAATGGTTCTCAAACATTTAATGTGAATTTGAAACATTTGAAGAATCTTATTAAAATACACATTCTGATGCAGTACGTCTAGGGTGAGGTTTGAGATTCTGCGTATCTATCAACTCCCAGATAACACTAGTGTTCTTAATCCTCAGATGCAAACTACATTTTGAATAGCAAAGTTTTAGAATATACTTAATGGCTCCAAGAATCACACAAGACTCTAGAGAGAAATTATACTCATTTCAGCGAATACAGTAAAAGATCTTGAAAGATCTACTTTGTTTTCTGTAGATTCAAAATGAAAACCCCAAGAAAGGCCCTTGGTTTACCAGTTTATCATAACTCATCCCCAATAATACTTACGTTTTGCTACCCTAGAAACAACCTGATACTCATTTCCGTATGCAATTAAAATAATATACAGGAAGTACAAATTATTTCTCTTAGCAAGTTATTGTAAGCTTATTATCAGAAATAAAACATATTTTTCCATTGTCTATAGAAAGTTTTACCTCCAAACTTCTCTAAAATACACTTTAAAGTCTTTATTAAATATAAGCTGAATATATACTGAATATATACTATGGTTTTGGCATAACATCTGAATATTCTTTAATCATTACTATATACTACATTAAAAGCCTGAATTACCCATTGTTTAATACAAAAGATTAAATGTTTAAAGTAGGATCAATATTATCTAAATACAAGGTTACCTTTTTTTGGTTTTAAGAGAAATCTCTGTACTTGAAGACAACATATTTATTGAATCCTCAAAAGTGTAAGTCCCTTTCTTTTGGGCAATAGATGGAATAGCATTTTGTGGTAATGTCTTTGTATCTAAAACAACAGAAGGTGGGCCAACAGATAAGTAAAATTCTTCATCAGCTTCACTCCGACGGCCATTTTGTTTGCTACTTGACACACTTTCCAAATCAGGTATATTTTCAGAACCAGATGCCACAATTTTCTGATAAACTTCATGGGCCTGAGCTAGAAGAAAATTATATAAAGACAGTGGTCAATTAAAAAATAATAACAACAACACTGGAATCAAATGTATTTTTTTTAAATATAACAATGTTTAATTAGAAGTAACCTTCAGATGACTAAGGTCATTAAGATTAGAATCAAAAATCTGTAGTTAAAATACATAAACACCCCAAAAATTCTAATTTATGAAACTAATGAAATGAGGCATATAGTTTATCCATGCTATCTAAAGTTTTGAAATGACAGATATCTTCAAATATAAAAAATTCACAAGTTTATTGATATGGTTTTGAGGTTTGAATGAAAATATATGCAGCTAAAGCAATGAAGTCACCTAAAGAAACTAGGAGATTCTTTCTTCAGGCTGACAGTTAATAAGCTAGGGTAACTAAATGGCACATATTTACACAAATGCATACATACATAGACATAATAGGACAAAATATAAGTACTTTTTTTTTTTTTTCTTATCAGGAGCTCTAGTAGTGTAATGGTTAAGGTGTTTTGGCTGTTAACCAAAAGGTCAGTGGTTTGAACCACAACTACTCCATGTAAGAAAAATGGGGCAGTCTGATTCCATAAAGATTTACAGCTTTGGAAACCCAATGGAGTTCACTATGAGTAGGAATCAACTCAATGGCAGTGAGTTTGTGTATATATATATATGCCTTAACCTTCAAATATCAAAGAAATCTAAACTAGCTGGGTAGTATTAATATTGCTTATACTCTTAAAAAGTAAAGATTAAAAATCTAAATGAAACTTGAAAAGAGCTTTTGGTTCTAGAACAAGATGATGTAGACTCATTTTCCCCACTTCTCCCATCTAAATACAACTACGTGCCCTGGAAATGATCTATCAAAAAATGATAATCAGATTCTGAAAACTAGAAGAAAGAACCCAGACTGGCTAGGAACCTCAAGATTTAAGGTGGTGAGCTCAATGACTTTTCTTTTATTCTCTCATAATCCTTCTATGAGAAACCCTGGTTGCACAGTAGTTAAAGCACTCAGCTACTAAACGAAACACTGGCATTTTGGCAGTTCAAACCCACCAGCCACTCCTCGGAAAGAAGATGGGGCAATCTACTTCCGTAGTGATACTGCCTCAGAAACCCAAGGAGGAGTCGCTATAAGTTGGGTCCAACTTGACGGCACGTAACAACAACAACAACAGCTTCTCCATAGGAGAAAAATGTGGCAGCTTGCTTTGGAAAGATTATAGCCTTTGAAAGACTATAGACTTCTTAGAAATAGAAGCCCTACTTCTATTCGGGGTGGCTGTGACTCAGAATCAACTCCACAGCAATGGGTTTGTTTCTCATTTTTCTTATACCCTCCGTAGGTCTCTATAGAGGACTGCAACACACAATCACCACCAATAGCACAGGAGGAACACGTAAACATACATAAACACACAAAAACACCTACACTTTCTGGCCAAAGAGTGTTCTGAATAGGAGTTCATTATCAAATAAGTGAATCACAAATACTTTCTGCCATCAAATGGATTTCATTCTTTTAAAAGTTGTTCTTCTTTTTGGTAGAGGGGTGTGTTTGTTAAAGTTGTGTGTCACCCTGGCTGGGCCCTGGTTTTGAGTGGCTCTGCAGCTGGAAGTACTTATTCCCCACGATGAGATTGTAATCACCTTCATGGTGGAATCTGCTGTGAGTAGCTAGGGAGCAGCCTCTATGCTGTGGTCTGCTTCTAGTATATAAGGAGAAACTTAGGGAAAGGTCTCTAGCTTTTGGTACATATGGATCCTACATTTGGCCAAGACTGCATCTCAGTGACGTGCCAGGTTGCCTGCCAATCTTGAGATTGTTCCTGGACTTGAAATAGTGGCCTGCCATGCTGTCTGCTAATCTTGGGACTGTGCCATTTGACTTATCAATCTTGGGTTCATCAGCCTCAGCAGCCAGCAACTGCATGAGTCAGAAAAAGCCTCCAGCTTTAGTGGGCCTAAAAGAGAAGGCAGAGCTAAACTAAGGTTGAGCGGTATTCACGCAGCCCTCTACTTGTGTTATTTCTGTTAACAGCAGCAGCACAAAACCAAGACAAGAGGTAGTTTTAAATTTTAATAAAGTTGAATTTATCAATTGCTTTCATAAATTATACTTTTAGTGTTTTATCTAAAAACTCATCATGAAAGCCACAATCACCTAATTTTTTACTAAGTTTTCTTCTAAAAGTTTTACACCTTCGCATTTTCCATTTAGGTCTAGGATTCATTTTAATTTGTATGAGAGGTGTAAGGCACAAATTTAGATTTCTTTTTTGTATATATATTTCAATGACTCTGGTACCAGTGAAATATCTTTGTTCTTTGGTCAAAGTTAATTGATTATATCTGTGTGGATCTCTTTTGGGGATCTCCATTCTGTGCCATACTCATCTGTCAGTTTGTCATATTGTGTGTGGTGGCTTGAGTGTTTCTGTAAGGCTAGACGCTATGCCACCAGTATTTCTAATATCAGCAAGGTCACCCACAGTAGACAGGTTTCAGTGGTGCTTCCAGACTAAGACTGGCAAGAAAGGGGATAGCCACTTCTCAAAGAACTGGCCTGTGAAAACTTTATGAATAGCCCTGAAACACTATCTAATTTAGTTCCAGAAGACGAGCCCCTCAGGTCAGTAGGCACTCAAAATATGACTGGGGAAAAGCTGCCACAGAGTAAACCTTAATGAGGTAGATGGAATAAAAGCTTTCAGGACCTCCATATGCTGACAGGTAATGATTCAAAATTAGAAAAAACAGCTGCAAAAACCATTAATAATTGGAACACTGAATGTCTAAAGAATGAATCTAGGTAAATTGTTGTTGTTGTTGTTAGGTGCTGTCGAGTCGTCTTTGATTCACTGTGACCTTGCGTACAACAGAACAAAACACTGCCAGGTCCTGTGCCAGACTCACAATCCCTGCCATACCTGAGCCCATCGTTGTAGCCACTATGTCAATCCATCTTGTTGAGGGTATTGGAGTTATCAAAAATGAAATGGAATGCATAAAGATCAATATTCTAGGCATTAGTGAGCTGAAATAGACTGGCATTGGCCCACTATGAATTAGATAATCGTATGCACTAATATGCAGGGAATGACAAATTGAAAGGGAATGGTATCACATTCATCATCACAAAGAATGTTCAAAATCTATCCTAAAGTACAATGCTGCCAGTGATAGGATAATATCCATACGCCTACAATGAAGACCAGTTAATATTATTATTAAAATTTAAAGATCAACCACTAAAGCCAATGACAAAGAAACTGAAGAATTTTACCAACTTCTGCAGTCTGAAATTGACCAAACATGCCATTCAGATGTGTTGATGATCACTGGTGATTGGAATGCAAAAGTTGGAAACAAAGAAGAATCACCAGTAGTTGGAAAATGTGGCCCTGGTGACAGAAATGAGGCCGAAGATTGCATGGCAGAATTTTGCAAGACTCCCAACTTATTTATTGCAAATACCTTTTTTCAACAACATAAACAGCAGCTATACACATGGACCTTACCAGATGGAATACACAGGAATCAGATCAACTACTTCTGTGGGAAGAGGCAATGGAGAAGTTCAGTATCTTCAGCCAAAGCAAGGTCAGGAGGTGACTGTAGAACAGACCATCAATTGCTCATATGCAAGTTCAAGTTGAAGCTGAAGATAACTTTAAAAAGTCCACAGAGCCAAAAAAAAAAAAAAAAAAAAATGACCTTGATTATATCCCATCTGAATTTAGAGACCATCTATAGAATAGCTTCAATGAACTGAACACCAATGACCAAAAACCAGATGAACTGTAGGATGATATCAAGAACATCATACAGGAAGAAAGCAAAAGGTCATTAAAAAGACAGGAAAGGAAGAAAAGACCAAAATGGATGTCAGGATACAATCTGAAAATTGCTCTTGAATGGAGAGTAGCTAAAGCAAATGGAAGAAATGACAAGGTAAAAGAGCTGAACAGAAGATTTCAAATAGCCTCTTGAGAAGATAGTCAATTATAATGAAATGTGCAGACCTGGAGTTAGAAAACAAAGAGGAAGAACATGCTTGGCATATTTCAAGCTGAAAGAATTGAAGAAAAAATTCAAGCCTCAAGTTGCAATATTTAAAGATTCTATCGACAAAATATAATGATGCAGGAGGCATCAAAAGAAGATGGAAGGAATACACAAGAGTCACTCTACAAAAAAGAATTGGTTGATGTTCAACTATTTCAAGAGGTAACATATAATCAAGAACCAATGGTATTGAAGGAAGAAGTCAAAGCTGTACTGAAAGAAGTGGTGATAAACAAGGCTCCAAGAATTGACAGAATCCACTGAAATATTTCAACAAAGGGATGTTGTGCTGGAGGCACTTAACTCATCTATGCCAAGAAATTTGGATAACAGCTATCAGGCCAACTAACTAGAAGAGTTCTGTTTGTACCTATTGCAAAGAAAGGTGATCCAACAAAATGTGGGAATTATTGAACAATATCATGAATACCACTCATAGATAATTTTGCTGGAAATAATTAAAAATGGTTACAGCAGTATATTGACAGGGAACTTCCAGAAATCCAAGCTAGATTCAGAAAAGGATGTAGAATGACGGACATCATTAGTGATGTCAGATGGATCTTAGCTGAAAGCAAAGAATACCAAAAAGATGTTTACTTGTATTTTACTGACTATGCAAAAGTATTTGACTGTGTGTGTCATAACAAATTATGAACAACATTGAGAAGAACGAGAATTCCAGAAGACTTAATTGTGCTCATGAGGAACCTGTACACAGTCCAGGAGGCTTTGTTCAAACACAACAAGAGGATACTGCATGATTTAAAACCAGGAAGGGCATTTGTCAGGGTTATATCCTTTCACCATACTTATTCAGTCTGTATGCTGAGCAAATAATCTGAGAAGCCGGACTACATGAAGAAGAATGAAGCATCAGGATTGAAGGAAGACTAACAACCTTCCACACACAGATGACACAACCTTGTCTGCT